GATACAACCCTCTGACTTCTAGTACAGACTGAGGTGGCTGTGCAGCCGTCACACTGTTTCTTCCCGTTGTACTCCAGGGGTAATCCCGCTTTTCCTTTTGCACTATTTTTTTAACCCATGTGTTTTTTATTTCTGGAACAAATTTTGCAGAAATTGTTTCAGACCTGGAAAATCCTTCATGGAAAACACGTGGAGAATGCCTGTGCTTTGCACTCGCACGCCAGTGTTCTCCTTGCTGGCCCTCGGCCCTTCCCAGGGAAGGCTCCGGGCTACAGCTCAGGGCAGGCGGACTTACACTTCTTTTCCCATTCTCCTCTCTGTTCCTTCTGGCGTACTTGTTAGATGCCATCTGAGGATTGCCGTCCACAGCGTACCCGGCTGACCCTGGTTTGGACAGATAGTTCACCTTCAGGATTTAGTAGAAAAAGATGACGCTGGCACCACAGGACTGGTGGTTCCGTGATAGCATCCGGGACCGAGGTTCCTCTCTCTTCTGTCCTGAGGTGTGGCTTCCACCCTATTCCATGGTAGCTGCTGTACCTCCAGGCATCCCATAAGCATTCCAAGCAGGAAGAAGAGGGAAGGACAGAAGGACAAAGGGACATGCCAGCCATGCTTGTCCCCTTAAAACAAATTCCTGGAAACCTTACACAATCCACTTAACATGTCATTGGCAGAACTGAATTTCACCGCTGCTCCGCCTGCAGGAGTCTTGGATGTGTAGTTATAGCTGGCACGTTGCCCTCATGAACAGGACAGGGTTCTTTTCTTACTGGAGAAAGGGAGAATGAAGATTGGGCAGTTAACTACAATACTGTCATAGATGAGCAGTATTACATTTCTTGGACCTTCTCTCATTTCTCTTTACTTACTGCCAAGTATTCTCTCTTTTTGTCTTTCTGCTTTGTTACAGGAAATTTTATTGATTTTCCTTCCTAGATCTATAATTCTATCTGCAGGCATGTTCATTATTTAGTATATCTTTTGCACTTCAATTTTTAGCAGTTCATCTTTTCTACTTTCTTCTTTTTAAAGATATTTTTTTATTGATTTTTTTTTTTAGAGAAAGAAGAAGGGAGAGAGAGATAGAAACATCTATGTGAGAGAGAAACATCAATCGGCCGCCCCCTGAACATGCCCCAGTGGGGATCGAGCCCGTAGCCCGAGCATGTGTCCTGACCAGGAATCCAGCCGGGACCTCTCAGTCCATGGGATGATGCTCAATCCACTAAGCCACACCGGCCGGGCTACTTTCTTATTTTTATATCAAATCTTATTTCTTTATATCTTTTATTGTGGTAAATTTACATAACAAAATTTAGTATTTTGGCCCTGGCTGGTGTGGCTCAGTGGATAGAACCTCGGCCCTCACACTGAAGGGTTTCAGGTTTGATCCCTGGTTGGGGCGAGTGCAGGAGGCAACCCATCGATGTATTTCTGCCCCCCTTTTCCTTTCCCTTTGACCACACTCTCTAAAAATCAGTGGAAAAGATATCCTCTGGTGAGGATGAACAACAACAAAAATTAAGTCGTTTGATCTTTTTTTTTTTTTTTATCCTCACACAGGACATTTTTTGATATTTTGTTCAGATAGAGTAGGAGGGAGAGAGAGAAACATCAACGTGAAAGGGACACATCGAGTGGCTGCCACCCACACGACCCAACCAGGGCCGGGGACAAACCGCAACCGAGGTACGTGCCCTTAGCGGGAACCGAACCCAGGTCTCTCTGGACCGCAGGCCAACGCTCTATCCGCTGAGCCAAACCGGCCAGGGCAGTAGTTTGATCATTTTAAGTACACAGTTCAGTGGCATTAATAAGTACATTCATATCGTGTACTTAACCATCACCACCATCCATCTCCAGAACCCTTCATCTTCCCAAGCAGAAACCCCGTACCCAGTCAACAATAACTCCTCATTCCTCTCCTCCCAGGCCCAGGCACCCACTCTTCTTTTTGTGCCTGTGAATTTGGCTGCTGGACTTAACCTCCTGTAAGTGGAATCATTCCTTATTTCAGTTAGCTCCGTGTTTTCAAAGTTCATCCGTGTTGTAGCATGTATCAGAATTTTCTTCCTGAATAATATTTTGTTGTATGTTTATACCCATTTTGTTTATTCGTACATTGATAGACACTTGAGTTGCTTCTACCTTTTGGCTTTGTGAATAAAGTACTATGAACATGGGTGTATAAATATTAGTTAGATTCCCCGTTTTTATTTCTTTTCGTTATATGCCCAGAAGTGGAATTGCTGTATCATATGGTACTTTTCTGTTTAATTTTCTGAAGAACTGCCATATTTTCCACAGTGGCTTCACCATTTTACTTTCCAACCAGTACTGCATAAAGTTCCAATTTCTCCACATCCTCACCAATACTTGTTACTTTATGTGCTTTAGATAATAGCATTCCAAGGGGTATGAAGTGATAGCTTGTCATTTTGATTTACATTTCCATAATGATTAGTGATGTTGAACATCTTTTCATGTGGTTATTAGCCATCTGTCTATCTTCTTTGGAGAACTGTCTATTCAAGTTCTTTGCCCATTTTTTAATTGGATTGCTTGTTTTTTGTTATTGAATTGTAGAAGTTGTTTTTATTCTGGATATTAACCCCTCATCTGTATTTGCAAATATTTTGTTCCATCCATGATTTGCCTTTTTCCTCTGTTGATAGTGTCCTTTGGTGCACAAAAGTTGTTGTTTTTTGTTTGTTTGTTTATTGATTTTAGAGAGAGAGAAAGGGAAAAGTGAGAGAGAGAAACATTGATTGGCTGCCTCCTGCACTCCTCCTACTGGAGACGGAGCCCACAACTTAGGCATGTGCTCTGATCGGGAATCGAACCAGCAACCTCTGGATACATGAGGTGGGCACCCAACCAACTGAACCACACTGGCCAGGGGTCAGAAGCTTTTAATTTTGATAAAGTCTAAGTTGTCTTTTTTTTTTTTTTAACCTATAATTTTGGTGTCATATCCAAGGAATCATTGCCAAATCCAATGTTATGAAGCTGGTCTCGTTTTTTTGTTTTTCTTCTAAGTATTTTATAGTATTAGTTGTTACATTTAGGTCTTCAATTCATTGTGAGTTAATTTTTGTTGTTGTTGTTAATCCTCACCTGAGGATATTTTTTCATTGACTTTTAGAGAGAGTGGAAAGGAGGGAGGGAGAGAGAGAGATAATCATAGAAGTGAGAAAGAGATCAATTGGTTGCCTCCCACACGACCCCTACCAGGGCCAGGACTCGAACCTGCAACCCTTCAGTCCACAGGCTGATGCTCTAACCACTGAGCAAAACTGGCTGGGGCCATTGTGAGTTAATTTTTGTATGTGGTCTTTTTTATATGATAGCACTTTGATTCTTTAGTTCATTTCAGGTTTAAATTGGTGATACTCTGATTTAATCATTCCTTCTTCATTTTCAGCTTCAAAGATTCTAAAATGAGAAATTTCTCTTCCATCTGTCCTTTGGTTATTTAGTGAGTGGTTATTCAATGGAAAAGGCAGGATAAAAGCTTTATTCTTTCCCCATATTTAAGGTTTCAAAATAGTGGTTTGGTTCTTTAGCATCTTCCTGTGGTGGCCAAGTAGTTTTTGCATTTAATGTCATGTACTTATGGTTTACATAGATTTGATATACTTTAATCTATTATAGTTATTGTTTTTATTGATGCTTAAATTGTCTGTAATGGTCGATGGGAGCTGCTTTAAGTTGGCCCTTGAGTATTTTTTTTGTTAAATATGTTTTTAATTATTTTTTAGAGAGAGATAGAAACATCAGTGTGAGAGAGAAACACCCATCTTCCCCCATCGGTGATTGAGCCTGCAACCTGGGCATGTGCCTTGACTAGAAATCAAACTAGGACCTAATCCACTGAGCTACACTGGCTGGGCGGCCCTTGAGTCTTTTATCAAGACTGGTTGTCCTATTTTTTTTTTTAATCCTCACCTAGAGATGAGTTTTTCATTGAATTTAGAAAGAAGAAGAGATGTGAAAAAAACATCGATCAATTGCCTCTAGTGTGCACTTTAAACAGGGCTCGAACCCAAAACCTAGGTATGTGCCCTGACCAGGAATCGAACCGGTGACATCTTGTTACATGGGTCAACACTCAATCACTGAACCACACTGGCTGGGCTATTTTAAAATTTTAAAAAATTTTACAGTAGCCTATTAAGCATACTTATTTAGTCTTTTAAATAGTTCCCTTTCGTTTTGGAGATTTGAATTTTCTTATTTGTTTTGCCTCTTCCACAGTTATTTTTAAGCATTTGGGGATTTTTTTGGTTTTGGTTAATCCTCACCTGAGGATATTTTTCCATTGATTTTTTTTTTTAGATAGAGAGGGAATGGGAGAGAGAGAGAAACATCGGTGTGAGAGAGACACATTGATTGATTGCCTCCAGCACAACCCTGACCAGGGCCTGGGATCAAACCTGCGACCCTTGGGTCCTTGGGCCGATGCACTAAACGCTGAGCCAAACCAGCCAGGACTGTTTTTATATTTTCTGTGGATGCTTTCTGTTTGCTTTTTATTGGTAACCTTAATGTATTATGGCTAAGGTCAGTTTTGCTTCTGAATATTTAACATATTTCAGTCTATACTGGGTAGTGGCAGAGAATGGAATTTTTTTGTTTTCTTTTTCTAATACTTCACCATTTTTAGCTTGGAAGCAGAGAGAAAAAGGCAGAAAGGTCACTGTGGAATTGTGCGGCCTTGTAGTGGCTGCAATTAAAGGTGCCAGGTCAAGAAACATCTTCTGTTTATAAGTCTTCTCCTACCTCTTACTTATGTTAATGTGGATCATCTGAATTCTGTTGAATTTCTTTTTTTTTTCCTGTGTGGATGTGAGGGGCATAGATGTCATGGTTGTAGTTTAATAAAATTTGCTAGGCAGCAAACTAGTGCTTTTAGGAAGAACAAAGAAGACAGTGAGAACTTGGGCAAACAGTTCTTTCTAAGCCCTAAAATATATCACTTTTATTCATCCATACAGAAAACAAGCATGAGGCCAAGAGGAGGCGCACAGAGAGAGTTAGGAGAGAGAAGATAAATTCTACAGGAAATAAGGATTTAGAAAACAGAAAGAGGTCTCGAAGTAACAGCCATTCAGATCATATCAGACGAGGAAGAGGAAGACCTAAAAGTGCATCTGCCAAAAAGCATGAGGAAGAAAGAGGTATGAATAAATCCAAGCAGTTTGTCTCCAATACTACGTTTTTCTCAGGTCTTAATTAGATAGCAGTGAAGGAAGTGTTTGGTAGGCATTGAACTCCTGGACTTAAAATCACCACTCATATTTTAGTTTGAAAGCATTTCTTTTAAGGATTGTTTAAACAAAAAAACCCAGAAATGTAATTCTTATTGGAAAACTAAAGGCTTAAATTAGGTAATAAGCACCTTGCTGTGAATTGGTGATAGTGGAGTGCAGAAGATAATGTGTATGTGACCTCCAGGAGAAGCCTGTTCAGGTGGTTGTACTTTTTTTTTTAAGATAAATCTGGGTTCTGTTAAGTCTTATTTCAAATCGTTATGCTATGAGTTTTAAACCCTACTATGGAAGTACTGCTCACTGTGAAGGTCTGAGTTGCTGAGGCGTGCTCCTCCCTTGAGGCAGCCGCGGGCAGGCGCGCCTCTCGGTCCAGAGCACACTTAACTTCTCCTTGCAGGTCTCGTTCTTCTGGATAAGTAGTGCCCACCAGTAACTTGTGTTTTTTTATTTTATTGTAAAATAACTTATTGATTTGAGAGAGAGAAACATGGATTTGTTGTTCCACTTATTTATGCACTCAGGGTTGTTCTTGTATGTGCCCTGACTGGGGATCAAACCTGCAGTCCTGGCGCATCGGGTCCACGCTGCAGCCAGCTGGCTTGTTTTAACCATTAATTAAAATGTGAGCTTCTCTTTTTCTTTGATTTATACATCTTTAAAAAAAAAACTTTTTATCATGGAAAATGTCAATGATTACACAAGAGTAGAGAGAATAGTGTAGTGAATACCCATATGCCCATAAACATCTTTTTTAAATTGAGGCTTTTAAGCTAGTAGTTAATGGAGAAAAGGGATAGTTGCTCTTTATACTTCTTTAAAAACCTCTCAAAATAACTTCATCTTCAATGAAATGCTTTCATAATTTCTTATTATATTTGTGAGTTATGCTCTGCCTTTTCAGGTATTCCGTCTTAGGTATGCAGGTATTTGAGCATAAATTAAATTTCTCATAAATTAAATTAGACATTGAGAATTTTTTACCTGATTACCACTTTTCTCTGCTTTTATTTGAATAAAATTACTGCTCTTAGGGAAAATGACTTCACTAATATAGCTGTTCTTAACTACTGTCAAATATTTACTGTTGTGTGGCTAAAGGAATAAGATTTATATTGTTTGACTGTGCTCTATGAAGACTGTACTTAGATACTCATTAGTTCCTTGGGTAATTTTACTGCTTTTTCTCTTCTGTTGCGCTGTTCCTCCAGAGAGTTTATTTCCTTAATTCGAATGTGTTGCTTTTAACAGTGGGATGATCGGAAAAATTTATACTAAAGACTGTTTCAGGAAGGAAACTAGGTAAAGAAATGTCAACAGAAAAAAGAAGAGAGGAAAACACTGCTTGGCCCAGAAAACAACATTCTTTTCAGTTGAAGTAAAGGGCTCTAACCAAAGACGGAGAAGGAGTGCTTCTGGTGAGGTGGGCGATGAGGAAGCAGATGGGCACGTCCCCGCCAGGAGTGAGGGCGGTGTCGGGCGAGGACTCTGCGGGTTCGAACTTCCAGTTCATGTTAACTCCAAGAAAGAAGCATTTATTTGGCTCTACATTTTTTTCAAGTATCTTCAGTTTATTATAAAAAAAGTTTTAAAGTTATTTCTAAAGTAAAGTATGTTTTAATTTATTTGCTTTTAATACAGACAGGAAAGTGCTCAAAGTCACTTTTAGAATAAACAAATCTCTTCATGTAGACCCAGGGGTGGGGGGGCTGGTCAGTAAGCGTTTTCTGTAAAGAGCCAGATGAATATTTTAGCTCTTTGGGCCTTCCAGTCTCTGTCACAGTGACTCTGCTCTGTCATCACAGCTGGGAAACAGCCATAGACAATATGTAAATGAGTGGGCGAGGCTGTGTTCCAGTTAAACTTTATTTATTTATTTATTTTATCCTCACCCAAGGACATTTTTTCATTTTTTTGTTGTTCCGATAGAGTGGGAGGGGGAGAGAGGTAGAGAGAGAGAGAAACATTGACGTGAAAGGGACACATCGAGTGGCTGCCACCCACATGACCAACCAGGGCCGGGGACAAACTGCAACCGAGGTACGTGCCCTTAACGGGAACCGAACCCGGGTCTCTCGGGACCGCAGGCCGATGCTCTAACCACTGAGAAAAACCGGCCAGGGTTAAAAAATTTTTTTCTTTATTGATCTTTAGAGAGAGAGGTAGAGAGAGATAGAAACATTGATGAGAGAGAACATAAATTGGCTGCCTCCAGCACACCCCCGACTGGAGATTTGGCCCACAACCTGGGCCTGGGCCCCGACCGGGAATCCAACTGGCAACCTCATGGGTTGATGCTCAACTACTGAGCCACACCAGCCGGGCATCCAGTTAAACTTTAGAAAAAAACAGGTGGTTGGCCCCTAGGCTGTATTTTTTTTTAATCCTCCCCCAGGATATTTTTCTGTTTATTTTCAGATAGTGTGGGAGAGAGAGAGAGAGAAAGAGAGAGAGAAACCAGGGTCGGGGACCGAACCACAACCAAGGCATGTGCCCTTGACTGGAATTGAACCCAAGACTCTTTGGTCTGAGGGCTGACGCTCTAACCGCTGATCCAAACTGGCCAGGGCATGAAGTATCTATATATTTTGGAATAGACTTCTTTGACATGCTTCTTAGTATTAAGTAGCTATTTATTTTTTATTGATTTTTTTTTTAGAGAAAGAAACATCGCTGTGAGAGAGAGCCATTGATCGGCTGCCTCCTGCACCCCTCCCCCCACCAGGGATCAGCCCACAACTCAGGTATGTGCCCTGACCAGGAATCTAACCAGAACCTCTCAGTCCATGGGAGGATGCTCAATCCACTGAGCCACACCAGCCAGGCAAAATTTACCATTGTTTTATAAAGACAACCTGACAGTGTGCTGAAACACATTTTTAATTGACTTTCTTGATTTCTATATTTAAAAAATGAATAGGAAGAAGAAAGAATAGAAAACGTGTTAGGTATCCAGATAACAACATATCTTTATAAAAATCATAAAAAACCATTAAATGTAGCAATTTTTTTAAAATTTAAGATAAGTTTTTATTTTATATGTGGGGAGCATGGGAGTATGATTACTCTGGACATTAGTAATATAGTGGCATCTTTGACTAAAATATTTTGGGCAATTCTGAATATCTTATTAGTGAACATACAGAATTCTGTAGACTTCACAAATCCTAGTAAAAGGGTATTTTCAAAAATGGTAAAATCATGAGAACAAGGGATGGGAGCAGCAAAATTCTGGAAAATGGTAACTACTTCAGCACCTCTGAACCCTAAACTGTAAGCTCCTTCGGGGAAGCTCAGAAAGACACCGATTTTATTACCCAACTGCCTTAAGACGAGGGATTTGTCACCAGTTACTTCTGAAAGTGTAGAGATGAAAGTGAAGCTAAAAACTATATTGTTTGAAAGACTTTTTATTTATTTTTATTTATTTAATTTTTTTTTAATCCTCACCTGAGGATGTTCTTTCCATTTTTTGTTCAGATAGAGCGGGAGGGAGAGAGACAGAGAGAAACATCGATGTGAAAGGGACACATCGAGCGGCTACCACCTGCATGACCCAACCAGGGCCGGGGACAAACTGCAACCGAGGTACGTGCCCTTAATGGGAACTGAACCCGGGTCTCTCTGGACCGCAGGCCGACACTTTAACCGCTGAGCCGAACCGACCAGGGCTGAAAGACTTTTTAAAAATATCCTGTTAAGGCTGTTTATATTGTCCTCCCCTCTCTCCTAGTTCATCCTTTGAAAAAAATGAGACAGAAGAGTCTCTGGTCGAGGGACACTAGGCTCCGTTGAGGGCAGGAGCACTGTGTTCAGAGCAGGATGATTAGGTGAGCACTGGAGGTGGTGAATGCTGAGTTCCGCAGGGCAGCTTGTATCTTCCAGGCAAGAGATCAGAAGTCTGTTCTCTAGGGACCCTGAAGAGCCCAAGAGAAAAGGGCTAAAATAAAGACATTTTCATTAAGGATTGCACAAAGAAATGGCCCAGTCAGGCTCCGCATGTGTGCAGGTGGTCCCTCTACTAAGTATGAGCATATTACAAAGAATCACCCAGATGTAATGGAAGAAAGCATCTAGTATGAAAGGCTAAGACCAAGTCAACAGGGAAGGAAAAAAATGGATAAAACAAGTTTTTGCAGGGAAGAGAAAAATGAAGACTATCATATGTATTCTTAGTAAGAGAACATATTGTAGTCATAAAACAAGAACAAGATGACATTTAAAAGGAAATTGCAGCCATGGCCGGTTTGGCTCAACGGTTGAAACGTCGCCCGCAGACCAGAGAGTCCTAGGTTCAGGTCCTTCTGGGGGCACGTGCCTCGGTTGTGGTTCGTCTCTGGCCCTGGTTGGGGTTGTGCGGGTGGCAGCCAGTCGATGTGTCTCTCTCACATCAATGTTTTCCTCTCTCTCTCTCTTCCCTCTTTCCCTCTCACTCTATCTGAAGATAAATGCAATAAAGTGTCCTCGGGTGAGGATTAAAAAATAAAAGGAAATTGCAGATGTCAGAAAGTTCCTGGGAAATGAACTTTAAAATATGAACATATAGCCCAGCAGGTGTGGCTCAGTGGATTAAGCCTCATCCCATGGACTGAGAGGTCCCAGTTTGATTCCCATTCAGGGCACATGTTGAGGTTGCAGGCTTGATCCCCAGGAGGAGACGTGCAGGAGGCAGCCAGTCATTGTTTCTTTCTCACATTGATGTTTCTATCTCTTTCTCCCTTCTTCTCTCTAAAAAATTAATTAGAACATATTTTTAAAAAATGAATATATATATATGAATATATATATATATATAATGATTTGCAGAAATGAAAATCTGTAACAGAAGGCTTGTAGACAAAATTGAAGAAATGTACCAATATGCAGAGCAATAGGAAAAGAGATGAAAAAGTAGAGTGGAAAGGTAAAAAATTCAGAGGACCAGTTTGAAGTCAACATCTATAAATAATTTACACTGCAGAAAATGAACATAGAAGACGAAGGAGAAGAAAGTCATCAGTGAAATAATTCAATAAGTTTTCCCAAACCTGAAGAACTTCAAGTTTCCATATTGAAGTGGCCCACCAAATTCCCAGCGGATGGTTAAAAGTAGAGATTCTACCAAAGCCTATTATCATAAATCATATCTCTTTGGTTCAAGTGTCCAGAGAAAAAAAGACAAAATAGTCAAAATGTTATTAGAATCAACACAGTGGAACAAACTACTGATACATGAACAGCATCATTGAATTTTAAGAACATGTTGTACAAAAGAAGCTAGACACCAAACAGTGCATCCTATACAATGCCATTTATATGAAGTTCAAGAACAGGCAAAATGAACCTGTGGTGATATACTCGAACACCATTGCTGGTGGGATGGGAGGGACTGCAGGGAGAGGCGCATGAGGGCATTTCTGTATCTTGATTGTGGTGTGGTGTGGGCTACTTGAGTGTATGTTTGTCAAAATTTCTTCAATTTTACACGTAAAGGCCTATGTATCTCACTGTAAATTTAGCAATATTTTTTTAAAAACTATAAAAAAGGGTATTGGGTTTTCTTAATAGTGGCACTGGTTGATGGAAGACAGTTTTTGCTTTCACAGTGCTGAGAGGACATGCACGGGTCTTTTGTCACCCACACTGTAAGCTAGTGTGAAGTAGACTGAAGACGTGCTCGACGTTCAGGGTCTCAGAAGTTTGCTGTCTGTACTCCTTTTCTCAGGAAGCTACTGCAAGGTACATGCCATCAAAATGAAGAAGTGACCCAAGAAAGTGTCCTGGGATGTGGGACACAGGGTCCAGCTTGAGAGAAGGATGAGTCTCCAGCGTGATGCTGGAGAAGAGATCTCGAGATGACAGTCGTGCCATCAGCGGGCCTAGAATGTAGCCGTTTCAGATTGGGGCAGGCACAAGACCTGCAGAGATTTCTTCAGGAGGAAAAGTCGATATAATTCCTAATGCGTATAAACAGTCTGAACATTTTATACAACTAGGAGAGAGTTTGGTTCAATTAGTAATGAAAATTAAGCGGATGTAAAAAGAGAATCTTTTCAGGGAAGTCAGTGTATATGAAAAGTGAAATCATTTACATAATCAAAATAATGTAAACATTGAATAGTAATCTCACCAGAATTGTGCTAGAATTATAATGGGAAGATATGAGGGAAGCATGTGTTGGGGGCAAGAGATGGAAAACGGTAAAATTCTAATTTTCCACCGTGGGAGGTCAGTAGTAATGTCTAAAACCAAAAAAAAAAAAAAAAACCACCAAGAAGTAGCATCATGTGAAAATGTTCCTTAGAGAGAGAGAAGTAAAAACAAGAAGGAACACGGAGGGAAAACGTGGTTGCATCTGGAGAGTGGGATGCATGTGGGGGAGGAAGGCTTCTGTTTTTGGTAATCTGTTTTGTAAAAATTTGACCCACAGGTACATGCATGGTTAACTTGGATTAAAGAGAAAAACATTAAAAGCAAAAGTAGATAATAGTAGAGCTTGAAAAAATTTGGAAGAATGTACACAAAAATAAATGTGATTTTGCTGCTTATGAGTTAGGTGATTTCTGTTTTATCTTTCTGTATTTCAAAAAATTTCTACCATGAACTTGACTTGCATTTGTAGTCAGGAGGGGAAAAATAGTAATAAATGTTGGTTATTCTTATATTTTGTAGCAAGGCTAAGGTGAAGAAGTTCAGATATTCATAAAGGCACCATTGATGTTCAGGTGTGACTGTCTTTAGGGTGAGAATATTCATTTTGATAGAGTCAGGTGGCTCATAATAGTGAGGGAAAAAGTATTTGAGATTCTTACAGAAATTAGGTAGTTATGAGATGGTATATGGAAATATATAGTCTCCATTTAGTCTTTAGAATGTAGTTCATGGCATTTCAGTAACTCCTTTGTAATGTAAAAATTTTGTCAGTTCAGTAGCATAATGTTTTATAATATTTAATGTACATTGTATTGTCATGTATAATATTGTCATTTAAAGAAATACCTGAAAGCTTTAAATTTTTAAACAGAAATATTGCATCTACTGCCTTTATATTAAGCTTTCCCTTTTTCTTTTAACAGAAAAACAGGAAAAGGAAATTGACATCTATGCTAACCTCTCTGATGAAAAGGCTTTTGTGTTTTCAGTCGCCTTGGCAGAAATAAATAGAAAAATTATCAATCAAAGACTTATTCTCTGATGTTTGTCTGCAGAATGTGTTGAAACTTTCTTCAGGATTACATCAGCAAATTCTCAAAACAGCTGTGGACTCTCAGGAGCATTCTGACGGCATCAGTAAGGGCCCGTGACAGTTGCCTGTCACTGAGCCTGTGCCACACTTTGGGAGCAAAGCTGTAGGCTTGGACTGTTCTGGGATTTCCTTGGTTCCCAAGGAGCATTGTCAGTGTTCTGTGTCTGAGATATACGTAAGTGTATTTACAAAAACAAAACAAAAAAACTGGTGACTGTTAAAGGTGAAAGGGGTAGGGATGGGAGCAGAAGTATGAAAACTAGGGAAATAAATGCTTGATGATTTTCGGGTTTGCCACCAGAGATGCAATATTTTAAATACTTTGAGAAAAGAATGGCTTTTAAAAATATATATTTCAGATTTTCAGCACTAATGGATTACATATATACGGTTCATTTGCTCTTAGCAAATTGGCAATTGGTATTTTATTGAATGGGGAATTAATATAAATTGTAAATTTTGTCTTAAATTGATTTTTTTCTTGGCCTTTATTTTTATGACTTAAGGTATGAGTTATATTTTGGGACATACTTTCTAGACAGTTTGGAGTTTTGGGTGCTATATTAAGAAAAACATTTAAGGCTATATGATACTTCAGATATAAACACCTTGCTTTCTTGAATGTAATTTATTTAATGATTATAAAAAACAACAACACTTTCTGCTCTCAGGATGGTGCCTGTTAATGTAAACATTAAATATATTTATTACATGCAAAATATTTCTTATCCACTTTTAAGCAGTAATGTTTTGTCTGAATGGATGTTCATTTATGCATCCTGATAATTATTTAAATTGTTACTTAACCTCACTCTGAAAAAAAAAATAAACCTTAATATTTAAACTAATAGATTAAATAGTGTTACAAGCTTTTTGTTCTAGTGAAGGTTGTGAAATATATTTAAATTCTTAAGGTTTTTTTTGTTGTTTGTTAATCCTCAACCAGGGAAACTTGATTGATTTTTAGAGAGAGTGAAAGGGAGGGAGGGAGAGCGAGAGAGAAAGAAAGAGAAACATCGATGTGAGAGGGAGATATCAGTTGGTTGCCTCCCGCACTACCAGACCTGGCCAGGACCGAACCTGCAACCCAGGTACGTGCCCTTGATCACAACTGAACATTCGAGGGACTCTTCATTCTGCAGGCTGATGCTTCTAACTACTGAGCAAACAGGCCAGGGCGAAATCTTAATTTTTTCTAGGGTTAAATGATAACCATGTATAGTTGCTTTATTTTATATTAAATGTTTTTGTAGTTTTGCATATCAATTTAATGATTAGCATTCAGACTTGACAAGAACTTTCCCTATTTTAAACCTACCCTCCTCAGCCAAATCTGCTTGAAAGTCCTAACGCTTAATTAGGGAGGGTAGTCAGTCATCAGACTTGCAGCCTTAAGAGACTTTCCTTTCCAGTTGCACCAGTGGCATTGTCCGCTCCATCTGCATCTCCCAGCTGCTCCCTAGAGAAAAGAGGTTTACGAGTTTTCCCTACTTTAAACGGTAGCCAGCAGAGGGAGCCGAAGAGGTAGCTAAGACAGAATTTTCCTAAGGATTCCTTTTCAGTCAACCCCCATATTTATCTGCAGCTAATAGAACAATTTTCTAGTGTGCATTTTAAAGCCCTAGTAATAAAGTTTATTCCTGAGAATGCTAATGTGATTTTATCTTTGAAACATAATACAAGAAAACTTGTATTTTGAGGGGAAAAAATCATAAAGTGGTAATACCTAAAAATGCTGTGAACAGATATATGTCCTCAGAGAAAGTAAGAATAGCTTATTGAGTAGGCATCTCTTTAAAGAATTATTGATGTCAGAGTCTATCTCTTTAAAGCCAAAGACCCTTAGGGGAAAGTCGTGTTCAAATAGTCATCGGATAAGGGAGGAGACGGGTGACGAGGCTGGAGCATGCCCTGTAGAAAAGTAATTTATTTCAGATCCTCATAATGTTATTTCAGATGCTCATAATGTCCTGGAGAGATCTGGGTATGTTTCAGGATGGTTGGTTATTCGCTATGAGGGTTTTTTTCTTGGTTCTGAACCGTGAGAACCTGGTGGGATCCTAGGAGTAGCCACGAATGTGTGCCCTCTGCCCACCAAGACCGCAGCCGCAGGCGTTCCTCACTCACACTAGTCCCCGTCGCATCCAGCATTCTTCCGGACCAGAACCACCACGGACGTGCTCCTGTTGTTTTACGGCCTCCGAGGTTTCTGCTCCAAGTAAGAGACTGTCCCTGCCACGCTGTGTGTTTGCATACCTCCAGATTTCAGGGCGGCCTTGGCCCCACAACCCCAGTTCTTTGACAGGTCCAAAGAGTCACTGAGTTTTCAGTGTCTTTAGCTTTTGTAAAGGGAGTGATGACTTCCAAGCTCTTTCCGTGTCGGAGCTGAAACTGGAAGTCTCATTATAGACTGTCACAGCTATAAAGCAGTCCTCACACTCCCTAGATTAACATTCGAGGCTGGAGGCTGGAGGCTGACACAGCACAGTCTGCCCCCGACCTGCTGCCCTTCTCAGGCTCTTCTGCCCTCAAACAGGCGGTGACAGAGGCCTGCTCTGCCGCACTGCTGCAGCTCAGCACGTGCCGCCTCACCCACAGCACGCCTTGGGTCACGGGTGTCAGATCGTGGGGCATAACTGCGATGGACGCCTCTGACGTTAGAGACGGCAAGAGGATAAGGGAGGGAAGGAAGCGACGCCCCTATGCCTGTGGGCGCCGCCCTTGGCAGTACACAAAGGCGGTTCTTTTTTTTTTTTCTTGATTGATTTTAGAGAGGGAGAGAGAAACATCGATGAGCGAGAACATTGACTGGCCGCCTCCTGCATGCCCCCCACTGGGGATTTGGCCCACAACCTGGCATGTGCCCTGACTGGGAATCAAACCAGTGACCTCTTGGTACAAGGGTCGACGCTCAACCACTGAGCCACCCCGGCCAGGCAGGCAGTAGTTTATAACATACCCAGGCAAGTTTCAGCTTCATTTAGTATACTCAAAACCTTTGCGTCTGTGGGTCAGCTGACCAACCAAACTATTACATCTTTTCTAACCCCCTCAAGTTAAAAATTGAATTCAGTCCAGCCGGGTTGTGGGCCAGATCCCCAGTGGGGAGCATACAGGAGGCGGCTAATTGATGTTTCTCTCTCCCCCTCACTTCTCTCCCTAAAAAAATCAATTTAAAAAAATTGAATTCAGAATATTGATATATTCAGCCTGATCCAGCTTTATATTCCTTCTACCATGATCCCACACCCTTGAGATCCGTTCCCACACATATCCCATATATCACTTCTGTTGTAATTGGAAAACTCTCGCCGGTCTTCTGGTGTGTAGTGCGCTTGTTCTATGTGGATCACACTGTAACTCATCCTTCTCTGAGAGTTCTTACCATGCCCCCATCTTTTTAAAAGTGTCTTATTTACTATTTAATTTATTGATTTTAGCGAGAGAGAAACATCCATTTTTTTTGTTCAGTTATTTATGCATTCATTGGTTGATTCTTATATGTGCCCTGACTGGGGATCAAACCCTTGGCTTATCAGTACAACACTCGAACCAACTGAGGCACCCTGTCAGGGCACCGTCATCTTTCATCTCTGCCTTGACTGCTTCCCTGAACCTCGTCTGCATTTGACGTTTGAAAGTTCCCAGTGAATCTACCTTCGCCTGCATTATAGTTCTTGGTTGTTGTAAAACATACTTTTGAGCTTTTTGTCTTACACCTCTTCATTTGTGGCTTTTTTTAAAACTCATTTTTATTTTTGAATGTATTACAGCTGTCCCCCCACCTTTTTTCCTCATTGACTCCCTCCTCCCCAATCCCACCCCCCTCCTGCCTTCCCCACACTATTGTCTGTGTCCATTGGTTACACATATGTGCCAAGAAACAAACCATCAATTTGGAATATAAGGAAGCAAAAAACACCCAATCAGAACAGCAAAAAGAAAAAGAACCCCCATATATGCATAGAAGTTCTTTGGTTTATCTCTCTCTCTCCCTCTTTCCCTTTGAGGTTCATCAGTGTAACCAATTTGTACTTTTTTTTTTTTTTTTTATCCTCACCCGAGGACATTTTTTGTTCAGGTAGAGCGGGAGGGAGAGAGAGAGAGAGAGAAACATCGATGTGAAAGGGACACATCGAGTGGCTGCCACCCGCACGACCAACCAGGGCCGGGGACAAACTGCAACCGAGGTACATGCCCTTAGCGGGAACCGAACCCGGGTCTCTCGGGACCGCAGGCCGACGCTCTAACCGCTGAGCCAAACCGGCTAGGGCCCAATTTGTACTTCTTAATTTCTTCATCATTTTCACCCATCCCCCAGCCTCCTCCCATCTGGCAAGCAACAAAAAGTTCTCTGTATCTATGAGTCTGTTTCTGTTCTGCTTGCTCATTTGCTTTGTAGATTCGACTGTTGATAGATATGTATTAATTGCCATTTTATTTGTTCTTCTCCTCCCTCAAGAAGACCCTTTAGCATTTCATATAATACTGGTTTGGTGGTGATGAACTCCTTTAGCTTTTTCTTGTCTGGGAAACTCTTGGTATGTCCATTGATTCCAAATGATAGCTTTGCAGGATAGAGGAATCTTGGTTGTAGGTCGTTGCTTTTCATCACTCTGAATATTTCTTGCCACTCCTTTCTGGCCTGCAAAGTTCCTTTGAGAAATCAGCTGACAGTCTTATGGGAGCTTCCTTGTAGGTAACTAATTGCTTTTCTCTTGCTGCTTTTAAGATTCTCTCTGTGTCTTTAACCTTTGGCATTTTGATGATGATGTGTCCTGGTGTGGTCCTCTTTGGGTTCATCTTGTTTGGGGCTCTCTGTGCTTCCTGGACTTGTATGTCTGTTTCCTTCACCAGGTTAGGGAAGTTTTCCGTCATTATTTTTTCAAATAGATTTTCCATTTCTTGCTCTCTCCTCCTTCTGGCACCCCCATGATGCGAATGTTGGCATGATTGAAGTTGTCCCAGAGGGTCCTTACACTGCTCTTATTTTTTTGGGTACTTTTTCTTTTTGCTGTTCTGATTGGGTGTTTTTTTGCTTCCTTATATTCCAAATTGATGGTTTGTTTATTGGCTTTACCTACTCTACTATTGATTCCCTGTAAATTATCCTTTATTTCTGACTAGTTAGTGCATCCTTCATTTCTGACTAGTCCTTTTTTATGTTGTTGATGTTCTCAATAAGTTCTTTGAAGGTCTCACTAAGTTCCTTGAAGGTCTCACTAAGTTAATTGAGCATCGTTATAACCATTGTTTTTAACTCTGCACCTGATTGATTGCTTATATCCATTTTGTTTAGTTCTTTTCCTGGAGTTTTGTTCTTTTCTTTCATTTGGGACATGTTTCTTTGTCTCCTCATTTTGGTTGCTTCCCTGTGTTTGTCTCTGTATTAGGTAGAGTTGCTATGTCTCCTAGGCTTCGTAGGGTGGCCTGTTGTAGTAGGTGTCCTGTAGGATGAAGTGGCGCAGCCTCCCTGATCACCCCAGCTGGGCCCTTGAGGTGCACCCCTAGTGTGAACTGTACACCTTCTGTTGTAATTGAGTCTGGATTGCTGTTGGCACATCAATGGGAGGGATTTACTCAGGCTGATGAGCTGTAAGGACTGGCTGTGCCCACCGCCCACTGACCTCTGACTACCTTGTGACATCAGTTGTGCAGGGCCCACCACACAGAGCAGACTTACTTCAGCAGGGCTCTGGTACCACTGAGTCCACTCCTTGAGTGTGTCACTTGTGGAGGTGGTTGGGTAGTGGTACTTTGATGTGGACTGAAGCTGCCCACTGGGTGTGCTGGCTCTGGGGCAAGGTCAGCCACTGCCTGTGTTCTACCCGGGGCCACCAGGCAT